CTGACGTTCGGCGGACACGGATGGCGTCGGCGTCAGGGCAGCCACGGGTCACAAGGGCGTCGGCGTCGCGCCACGGGCCGCAGTCGGTCCCCTGCAGAGGCGGCCGCAGTCGGAGTCCCACGGGCGCCGCGCGAAACGGTTTCCAACTCCGAACTGGTCGTAACAGCATCTCTACTGAAATTGTGTGTTCAGATTCGAGTTTGTTGGGAAGGGTCATTTGGTTGTGGTATGTGTTGGTTATAGAAGCTATCAACAGCCACAAACAAGATAGAACAAGTTAAAGATTGTTCCCAGGCCCGCTGTTCAGAGCATGCGATGTTTTTCCAGATCACGTCGACGCTGAAATTCTTCGACCCGAATGACACCATAACGCCGGGTCAAAGGCTTCACAATCGTAGTGCCTTATAAGGGTAGGATGGTCTAGAAGGGTAGGACCCATATGACTATATCAAGTGCCCTTCAAAATTTGCGATGACTACGATTGCATAGGAACGTTGCAGTCATATGCGGGCATGCTCTAAACCCTGGCAAAGGATAGGATCGATAGGGGACTCACAAAAACGATACCCTTTAACACGGTTCCAAAGCCAGGGAAAACCATAGGGGCCTCACAAATCTGAGGATGCCAGAGTGTACCTCATATCTATACTGAGGACATGAAAATGACATGGACCTCATCTTGGACATTTGGAGTCTTCACTGAGATCCCAAGTCGTTCCGTTGTTGACCCTGGGCCGCTGCTTTTGGCCAGGTCGCCCACACGCAAGTGCTGATCATTGAATACCCTAAGGGTCCAGGACCATCCTGAGGATGTCCTTTGACCCCCCGGTTCGACCATTCTCTGGAAATACGTACTCACCTCCAAGACCATGCGAAAAGGAGGTACCTGGACCCTATGGGATAGGCTTTGATGGGTTTTTGGTGCTCATTCCAATCAGAGAGCATGGTTCAGAAGTTCAGACCCGAGTCAGAACACTGTGCGGATCAATGGATGTGAGGTTGGATCTTGATGAATCAATAGGCCTCCCCTTGTCCCCCTTCAAAACACTTTGATTCATCAGCTGTCCACCTGGATCTCGAAGTAGGGAAAGCGGATGACAGGGTGACTGTCCAAAAGATCCTTTGGAAGATAATACATCGACTAGCCCGGGCGTTGCCTGTTTTAATGCACATCGTTTGTTGTTGAACCATCTCATCACCAGTCTGTTTGGTACGACTGGCCGTGGGACCCCATCTCAGCACACCTCTTCAGCGGCTTCATTTGAGCAAGCTGGTGGACCGTGAAAATAATGCGCAGAGTGATGCCCGGGAGAGGACACATTCCCAGACCATCCACGCGAGAGGAACAATGACGCCATGTATGCCCCGTATCTCTCATCCCATACCCCAGACGCTCGAATTGATTTATATCCCAAGCACTCTAATGTTTGAGGGATCAATGGGGCGGCATATATGACAGACATGGAGTGTCTGGGTATATTACACTCCCTTTTTCAACGGCCTCAACTCATCCGTATGCGAGTGCGATTTTTCTGCAAGTCCTAGACAGGTCCAACAGAGGTTGAAAGGCCCTATAGGCTATCCCATAGGTACCCCTGTAGTGTCCTATAAGGTCACTTAACCTCTGTTGGGTCGTGTGGCGTGGCATGGATGATATGGGAAAATGCTTCCCGGGCGGCTTTTGGATCGATCGAAGAGGCGACAGTTTTTTACTATCAGCGACCTAAAGAGGAGGGCTCAACAGGCATCAAATGGGGGCCTAGTAGCACCACCCTGATCAGGTTGGCTTTTTCATCCATGGTTAGGACTTCCTGCGACCGTTCAGATGGAATCTAGGACGGATGGAGGGTGGTGAAGTTAGTAATACAAGACTGTATGCGACTAGGATGGAGAAGATGGCCATCAGTGTGAAGGGTGTGATTGTAAGAGGGATGCCCTTCGATTTGGCCTGTTGACAGGGTGGAATCTTAATTGTGATCGATCTTGATGATCCACCTATAGAGGTTCTTTTTTGCTTCAGACGAGCAGGTTCATTTGGGTATATACCTGCACATTTGGGTACCTGCACCTTTTTGGTGTTCAACAAAGACATATCTCAGCCACAGAAAAAAGACATGGTCCGTTGCCCCATCATTCGACAGCCTGAGGTCCGGAGATGCCGCCTTTGGGATCCGACGGAGAAAGGGACGGATCCGCGGCTTTGGTCCAAGACTTTTGTTTCGGCAACTCGGCCAGGTTGCGAAGTGCGAACTCTCCGCCGTGGAGTCTTACCACTTCGAAGTGGTCAAAATGTCGAAGCTTTTGAATTGGAAGAGGCAAAAAGGGGCAATTGTAATAGTAGTCGCTCTTTATGTTTTGTTACCCTGGCTTCTTCCAAATGGCCTTTTAGGGTGGGCATCACTTGAAGAAAAGCAACATGTGTGATGTGTTTCCTTTTGCCAAGACTCGCGAGGACAAAACCATTCACAAAGAGAAGGGACTGCGCAGGAAAAGAAGCTGGGACCTGGACTTATTTGCCTATCATTGGTTCAATTACTCTTTACCTACAGTTTGAGCTATACAATGACATGGGACTGGACTAATGCTCCATATTGCTTCATCGAGTTCCGGCATCGAACTGCTCACGACCCCCCGTGGAGACATGCCGTGTTAGCCACGAACCCGCGCACCAATCTGACACAACTGGGACTGGTGACGGTGAAAGGATTCCTCCAAGTAAGGTCAACACCCAAGGGTGGGAAAACAGCAGGACTCCCAGACAGGATGGTCCTGGGATGTCGACATGTCATGTGAAGACAAGCATGGATCACAACGGAATTTGCTTCGTACCGGGATGTTACCTGCCGGGATACGACAGCACGCAAAGGATCATAATGTTGACATTGACCTATGATTGATAAAGGGACCCGAAATAGAGTTAACAAAGTTCCAAATAAAATAAAGTTAGGGACCTATGATTATTTGCCACCCCCAATCAGAAGTCAACATTATGGAGTGAGATGATTGGAATTCCACAAAGCATTTCCAAATTCTGAATGGCGCCCCAAGAACCCCACACAAAATGAGATGAGGGCTGGAATCCAGACCACAGCTGTATGGGCGCCCGTGGTCAGCCAAAGGGTGCCCTATCAAACGCTTCTCGCATTTGGTGTTAGTAAACCGGAAATGAACGTGAACTGTTCATGATTTCTCATCTCTCAAATCATGTATACCAAATTCCACTTTTAAACCCGAGGAGGTGTGTCAGCTGTTGACCCACCCAAGGCACTGGGAAGTCCTGACATCTCATGTGGCCATTTGGCCCTGTCCATTTCCCTGGTGAAGCATCACCGGCAGAAATCACCCCGGCCGTCCGCACTGCGGCGGTCTACGCCGAGGTGCGCTGGCTGGCGGTGGGTGGCTGCCTTCGGTGACTCCAGCGAAGCCGGCGAACGCTTAGGGTGACTCCAGGGGTGTCGACCTTTGGGGTGGGACTGATGGACAGGTCGCGGTGCACGGGTCGGGGACGTGGTGCTGGTGGTCGGGTGAAGATGGTTTTTGGGTTGACCCATCCTCATCTCGCTGGCTAATCACCTCGTAGGTGTTCAGGGTTCCGGGATTCTGGCTCTTTAGTACACATGCTTGTTATAAACAATCAAGGAGCGAGCAACCTGGCATCGCTAATTACTAGGAGCAAGGACGCTACTAAGGGGCTTGTCCCCTTACAATGGCACCCTTAGAAGGCGGGAAGCCTGTACTTTTCTTAGCACCTTTGAAGCGGACTTGGAGAGTGGACCCGGTCACCATGTGACTATATGTGTGACTCAGATGTTTGAGATTTTGTTCATGGCCTGGAAGTTACTCTCAGATATGAAGCAAATCTGATAGACCCAGCGCAGGGGCCATCCATGGCCAACAAGAATTGAGACGGTTTTGGGACCTGTGGACGCGCAGCCCCTGGTTGTTGGAAGAGGAAACCAAAGGGGACGGGGCTTGGCCCACCTTCATGGGGCTCATCTGGGCACCATGTGTTGTTGAGGTGAAGTGATGGACAACTCACCAACGTTGAAGTGAATGTTTAGTTTAGAATATTATCATCCACTCTTGCACTCGGTTCAATCTTCAACTAGGCGATGCTTCTTGATAAAAGCCTCGGTGTTTGTGTGTGTGTGTGTGTCTTGTGCGATAAGGAAGTGTGGAGTCAATGTCGCATTCTGTCGGATGAGGAGGTGCTGTTGATGTTCAAGCCTCCTGAAGAAAATCAATTTCAGCTGCCTGGTGTGGGTTGCAGAAATGACTTTAATCCAGCAGTTAGAATGACCGGAAGGGTGGCCGGATGTATATCGCAGCTGTAGTTTTCAATCTCACATACTCCCCCTAGGGATCCACTGCCACCGTACCTCAGGTTCGGTACGACTGGGCCACCTGCCCAGGCGCCTACATCACAGTGTCTCCGTCCTCACCGTACGACCGTCGGCACTGTGGATCCCTAGGGCTCCATGAAACCGGAGTTTCATACGACCGTGCACCTGAAATCCACCGGCCCCCAGGATCCACGTGGACAGGTGGTTACGTAAGGCCTGAAAAAAGGACCAGTCTATGGCGAATGTCACAGTCAACAGATCAAAGGTGGACCCAAACTGGTTGATGTTGGACCAGATTGGAAAAGGAACTCCGAAGTGGCTAAAAGGAACGGGGCGGGCCATTTGGTGCACAAGCAGCAGGGTCACACGTAATGTTCACTTCTTGACTGCGAGCTGCAAGGAAATGGTGCATGCAGGCATTTGGCTGAATAAAACCGGTCTCATTTCATCGCAAGACCTGGTTCATCATGCTCCATTTGAATCTTGAATTTATGTGATATTGCGAAAAGCAGGTTTGAAATACTTCTTTGGACTCGGACCTTCTTCATCCAGACTCCAGTCTCCAGTCATTTCAAAAAAGACGAATTGTACTGTGATTACTTTTTGTCTCATCGCAATTCTATTTTCCCCACGGGTGAGACCAGACATCCTCTGGCACGCGTCTGGTGTTCCCGGATTTGTCGTTTTCCAACGGGGCGCCGGAGTGTGCCGCTGACTCTCGCCATGCGCGGGGTGAGCATTCTGAGTGCAACCACTGGCGCTGAGCTCTTTGAGGTCAAGGTGGAAGAGGAGCAAAAGCTGTAGTAACCTGGAAGTGTCAGACTGTAGTACCACTGGAAGAACGACTACATGGAAGTGGCGACCGGTGACAATGGGGGTGCCAATCATTCAAGGTCGGCCGCGAACGAAGGAATTCAGAAGTGGAGAATGAATAAGGCTAGGGCGGCTAGGGCGGCTAGGGACTCTGAGGTTCTCTGGCGAGAGCTGTTTGGGGTGTTCTACCTGATTTCAGAGCTGCCAGTGATTCTGTGTTCTTCCACCGTAACATGAGCAGTGCTTGGGCATGGAGCAGTGCTTGATGAGTCCTGCACGAGCAACGCTAGTTTCCACTCGCAAGCAGCTCTTTGAACAGATCCTGTTCTTTGCATTTGCTGCCGTTGGTTGGAACCTGAGAAATCTTCAATCCTTCCTACATTGACACCGTTTTCAGCACATCCACACAGTTTTGCTTTCAAATTGGTCGTGTTGGTTTTGCACTTACCCTTTGGTCCTTAGATGGCTGTGGATCAACACCGGGACCTCCAAACCCCGGTAGGTTGACTTACTCTCCCGCTTGCGCGATCCCATGGAACCTGAGGGTCGATGTGGTCCTCTGCAGGGGAGTACTGTATTAGCAATTCATAGTATTAATTATATATCGTCTATATTCTGTTCATGTTCGGCGGTCAACCAAGGACTCCCGGCCCGGTCTGAATCAGAACGAATAAGGACGTGTATGTACCCGGAGTCTCAAAGTACTTCAAAAACAAGTACCTGTTTTTATAGGGTCATGTCCCATTTTCTAAGGTGCTTGACTTCGGGTCCAGGTAGGTGTATCAACCCGAGACCACTGCCGGTGATTTCCTGGGATGCCGGAGCCGTCTCGCACGGCCAGTGCACGAGTGAGGAGTGGCGCGTGGAGGAGCTGCGGAGCGTCGTGGCCAAGGAACTCAAGCTGAGCGTCAAGCTGCTGGGGCTGTCAAGCGTCGTTTCAAAGGGCCCAGTAGGCCAGGGCCTAGATGGAGTGAATTGAGTACTTATAAGGGGGCATGAATGAGGGTATCAAGTCCGGTATACCGGTATACGATTGATGAACTTGGGACTAAGAATGGACGTTAAAACACAAAAGATTCACTTAAAAAAGCAGGTATCTGTGAATTCACCTTGCACATGATCGATGGCATGTGTGCACTCCCCAGAACTTACGAGGAAGTAAACCTAGACACCCAGCCATTTGGTTTACGGGAAGTGTTTTAAAGCATGTCCCAATCAACCTAACCAGGAAGTCACTTTGCAGCTTAACCAAGAAGTTGTAATTTTGCTGTTATTCTTCCTTGTTAGCTCCCAACCTATGAAAATGTAAAGCAACCCTGGCTTACCTGGAAGTGTATTTGCCTGGTCATTTTCCAGCGATCCCCGCAGAGCCGTCGAAGCTAACCGACAAGATGGCTGAAGCCTTGGAAGAACCTGTCATCCCTTTGGCGATGGAAGGAAGCCAAGCGGAGCAGATCGCGATCTGTGATTGTGTGTTTGAGGTTGTGTTTGTGGTTGTGTGTTCGTGGTTGTGTGTTTGTGGCTGTGT